TGAATTTTGGATTTAAGATCAGGAAATTTTAAGGCAAAGGAGAGTTGATAGGATTGTAGAGCTTCTCATTACCTTTCTGTGGCTATAAATAATGTTGAAATCGGAGTTAGAACAAAGAAGTTATGACCGTTCGAAGTTACGAGGATTTTGGGCTAAGCCGGGTACGCTGGGCATACAAGGCTCAAGTTGATTGCGGAAAGCAACCACGTACGTTGGGCGTACGCTAGGCATACAAACTATTGGGACAAACCCTAATCTTTAAGGTTTGGATCCTATTTAAACACTTTATCTTTCTCTTAGACCTTCTTATCATCAGCCTCCTTCCCTATAAAGACTCCCCATGAAACCCTAGCTTGTTCTTGTGTGTTTTTGATCCATGGTAGTAATCTTTTGGCATTTTTGCTACTCTTTGAAGAAGAAAGATCTTGGTAGTGAAACTTTGGTTGGATTAGAGCTTAAGGATCCAGAGTCGTCATCGGCTTTGCTAGAATTTGAAGGTATAAAGCTCTTGATGACTCTAAGTGTTAGATCTAGTTTAAGGCTTGTTTTGAGTTTAATATGGTCCCTTGAGCCATCCTTGTGAGTATGAGCTACTCTTGGAAACTTAGAATGTTAGATCTTAGCATTTATGATGTTGTTAGGGCAAAACAATGTCATCTTGATGGGTTTTAATGAACCATGCAAGAGTTGGTATCCATATTATGGACTTAGATGGATAAAAACGGGTATTGGGTCCATTAAGACATGAAAAGGAGTAATGTTTCCAACTTTATGTATTAAGATTTCATTTAGCAGTAGATATGAGGTATGAGCGTAGTGGGCTTAATGGATTAAGTCATTTGGATTGAGAAGTGGGGACTGACCAGTACGCTGGGCGTACTGGGCTAATAATGAGTACGCCAGGCGTAGGTTTGAGTATGCTAGGCATACTCAGCAGATGTTGACTTTCGTTTACTTTTATAGTTTGGGCCATATTTGGACTATTAGGGTTTTGGGCTTTGTTGGGCCACTAGCCTTTCGGACTTTGGGCCATTGTGAGGTTTTGGGCCTTCTTGGATTTGGGCCCATATTGGAATTTAAGTGCTCTTTAGGAATAGGGCCACTATTGCAGTTTTAGTGCCACTGAAGTTTGGGCCTCGATTATTGGGCCAAGTGATGGAGGGGTAAAATGGTATTTTACCCTGGGAGTTGGATAAATGAACTAGATTCCCGGTTATGGTTTATGGCCCAATTATTAATTAGGGTTTTATTTGATTGGTTAGCGCAGGGATTCTCCGATTCAGCAACCTGAGCATCTGTTTGACTGATAAGAGACTGAGGTGAGTTTGCTCACTATACTGTAGAACACTAGGATATGTTATGCGCTTGTAGTTTTTGTGACTCCTGTTGTATGTGTTGTATGCATGTGTGTCTGTTTGCTATATGTATGTGGGGTGAAATAGACCCGATATAGCCTTGTGCTCACATATGATTTGAAATAGACTCGGGGGTGAAATAGGCTCGGGGGTGAAATAGACCCGGGGGTGAAATAGACCTGGCACATCCTTAAGTTGGCATATGAGGTTAAATAGACTCGGGGGGAAATAGACCCGACACAACCTTGAGCTGGAGGATATGTATGGTATGCGGTATTTTGGGGAACTCCCTAAGATTCGTGCTTCCGGTTTATGTTTAAAATATTTTTTAGGTACTCCTAGTTCGAGAGGGAAGGGTCCAGCTTGATCACAACGCATCCACCCATGTTTCCACACTATATGATTTTGGGAAATTTTACTCTGATAACTAGTTTTACTCTGTTATACTTTTGAATGAATGAAACGATTAAATGGTATTTATGGTGGAACTAAAAATGAAATTTTTATGTTTTAATTTTTGGGATGTTACCAATAAACGAAATGTCTTGCTACATGATGATGTTCATCTTGTGTTTTAACCTTAAAAGAAATTCCCTAATTTCTTTTATGGGGTAGATATCAGGGAATAATCAAGTTGCAAGTGACAAGATAATTCAGAATCAACAAGATTTTGAAAGATTAAGTTGAAACAACACCGCATGCTTTAGATATTCTTGTCATGGTATGCTTAGGATTATAGGCCTAAGAAAATGCGTTTACTCAAGAATGAGATTTTGGTTTGACACCTCACTTAAAGTGAATAAAAAGGGATATGGATAAGGTTGGGAAGCAGACATGAACCTGGATGGCATGGTACTTGTTGTTACAAAAGTATAAGATTTAGAGCAATATACAGGGTTGAGTTATCTTATGAGAAAATATAGAAGAAGTACATCATTAGTATGAATGAATTGTCTAGATATCTCCAAGGTAATGTGTCAGTATTTTAACTTGGAGATCAAGTCCAATAGAAAAGAAATTATAGAAATGAGGGTTTATGAAGAGTGATTAGACTTTAAGTACAAAATCTAACAATGGGTTATCTACGATTATAGAAATAGGAATGAAATGGTATGTGTACTATAACGTGTTTTCGCATGTATTCCATATGAGATGATAGTATGTAGACCATGCAAATCTTGTTTTGGCAGGCGTTCAGGCCAAGTTGAAAGTACTATGTTAAGTTTTGGACATTGGTACTATAGGAAGTAAAAAATGCAAGATGAAAAGATATATCTGAAGCTAAGTTCATGGTAATGACTTACTAATGGAATTAGTAAAGAATGGAATGTTGGTGATGTGCGTGGACACGAAAAGGTACACGTTGGCAATATATAATGTCTAAGCAAGGAAATGGTCAAATGGTGACTTATAGGTTGGGGGTACATGATAAGGCTTCTTACATGCCTTAAAACTTTTTAGAACATGATGCGAATGTATGTCTTATAATATTTGATATCATTGATAAAGTATTTTGTTAAAAATATCAAAAGGGGACAAAAAGGTAAAAGTGTCCAGGAGGGTTAATAACCCCTAATGATGTATTATTAATTATTAGGATTGATTTAAATTGTGACAAAATAACCAATATGATATGGATACCAAGGAAGTTGAAAAGTGATGGGATGAAATCCTAATGAGCTGACTCACGAAGTAATTCCGAAGATGAAATCCTTTTAAGGGGTAGATAATTGTAACATCCTAAACATTTAAGAATGGTTCTTAAATAAATAAAGTAAATAAGTTTAAAAAACGATTTATATAGTTAAATCATCAAGGAATAGTCATATCATTAGTTGATATGAAGTTTAGAAAGTTAGAAGTAAAAATAGTAACATTTTAATGTTAAAGGGGAAAAAGTGTCAAATTGGCAAAGTAAGTTGACCAAAGGGTTCAATCAATTAGTATAAGGGACCACAAAAGTTATATAATGGATGGAGAAGGACTTATTATGTCAAAAATTAAGTTTAAGTCAGAAAATATGAGTTTATGGTGGAAATTGGCAAATTGAGCAAAGTTGAAGGACTAAATGATAAACTTTTTGAAAATAAGATGTATTCTCCTTCCTCTCATTCATTAGAATGTATTTTGCAAGAAAGGGAGGAGCTTACATGGTGATTTCATCTTCTTCATCCTCTAGGATTTAATTTAAGAGGTGATTTTGCATCCAAGAGAAAGCAAGAGGAATCAATGACTAATGAGGTATAATCTCTTCTTTCCTACTCCTAAATTTCGAGTTGAATGCTTGGAGAAAACCCCAATGTTGAATTTAGCTTCTTATAATGGTTAGGCTTTTGGTCTCTAACCGCACTTGGGTGATTTCAATGGTTCCAATCTCAAACCAATCATTCCATTAATGGTTTTGGTGAATTGGGTAAAAAGTCAACCATGAACCTAGAATCCCCATTTTGGGAATGTTGTACTTATGTGTAAAAAGTCAAAATGCTCAAGAACATCTGAATCTGACCATACTACATCCGATACTCGTGTTAGTTTCGACCTCAACAATGATGAACTCATTCAAGTCTCACCACCTTCCCGACCAATGGGAAGGGACAAGCAAAAATCAAAGGCGAAGGCAAAGAAACATATTCGGATGAGTTGAAAGAAACTGGTGCCGATATGAAAGGTATAAAAGATAGAATGGACAAAATTTTGCAAATTGCTTCCGAAAGAGAGCTTCGGAAACAAAGAGATAGGGACATGAGAATACTAATGATGGACACATCGAACATGATCGGGGAGGATCTTGAAGTTTCTATAATGATGAAGGTAGATGTCAAAAACCGTTATGCTAAGTAGGTTTAAAATTTCTAGTTTTTTTTTTTAAATATTTTTATTCTTTTATGTGTGTTTTTTAAGGTTATAGGTTTAAGATTTCTAGTTTTTTTTCTAAGCTTCTATGATTTTTTTTAATGTCATGTTACGTTTTTTTAAGTAATGTAATGTACATGATTTTAATTTTTAATTAATGAAATGTTATGTTTTTTATGAAAATTAATTTATTTATTTAATTTTTTTATTTAAATAAAGTGCGGCATCACTCCATGGGTGTGACAATGAACCACACTTTTGTTGTAAAAGCTGACGTGACGCTTACGTGGCAGTGATGAGAGTGTGGTTTCTGTGTGGCACCACTCCCTCCAGTCGTATGACTTTTATGACAACATCAATAGTGATGTCATCTGTTGCCTCTAGTGATGTCACACATGTCCATATTTTTTTTGTAGTGGATGAAAAGTAAAGTGACAGTTTTTTTGTAGTGTTACCTTAAAATTTATAGATTTTAATGAATTGTAGGAAAAATTAAGCTTTTAGAGTTTTATGAAATTTTTTGTATATTTCTTGGTATGTAATGCAAGGTCTCCGCCCATACAGTCACATACAAACCATGTGAGGCATGTAAACAACCATCCATAATATAGTTTTTGAATTTCAACACTTAAAAGTTAAAGGATTACGATAAACATTGAAAGTTAAACTCCAATACTCTCTAACCAAAATTAATGGTTAAAGCTCCATGAGATCGCTTTGTCAATAAAATAGGATTCTTTATACTTCAAAAAAGATCATAGTAGGAGATGTTGCATGAACCGATTGGGCGTCCTATATATGGCCAGCCACGTTGTGGAGCACTTGGTCAGCTAGTCTTCGAACATATGGATCTTCCTATAAATAATAAAGCATAAATCAGTTTCAACTCATATATATCAAATAAGTAATCCTAACTCCTAAGTTATATTTTAGTGTTACAATATCTAATCAAAAAATGACAAGTTAAACTCATAGTATTAACTTATTAAATAATTATATCATTTTACACTACATATGTATGTTTGTTAGTGTGTTTGGCATGCTGCATGCATGCATATAACGTCTTACACAAGCGAAGTTGAGATATCCAGGATCTCTCAGTTTGGCAGGGTAGCATTTGCCCAAAGCATCACAAGCCCTATGCATTTGACACCATGAGTTAGAGCATGAACACGATATTAATGATGTTTAAAAAAACACACTACTAAAGTACTAATATACAAACAATACAAGTTTCCAGAGATCAAAATTTACCCGACTAACCTAGAGACTTCAGATAGTCGCAAGAAACAGTTTAACACATGTTTCAACAACTGCAATGGTGGTTTTATGGTAAACTGGTCTACAACATTGATCAAGACTTGTGCAACCGCATAAAACCTTTCTGGGAATGTGCCACAATATTGTTGCCCCTCTTCGTACAATAGAATCTTACTAACCACAAAAGCTGCAACCTGCATATTGAAAGCAATAGATGGATGGTCAACAACCTGTAAAGGAAATCTATGGAGTAGTCAAGATTATGATTAACATACCGTTTTTGCCAGTTCACCTCCCACTTCTATGCAGCGAAGGCACAATGGAATCACTTCTGTTTCAAGAAGAAAGTGAATGATTTCTGGGCTGTTGGTATCCTCCACCTGCGTAAAAGTAAAATAAAAGATTTGAATGCGGTATTATGAAAGGTACAAGATTGATGTTTTGTGTTTGTACCTTCACAAGGGCACCGATGACACCTAAACTGGTGAGACGTAAGTAGTCGAAATGTTTGAGTCGTTGTTCAGTAGTGTTCATAAAAGGGTAGATGAAAACAGGCATTTTAGCTGCCAAAATGTAAGAATCAAATGAATCCATTATATTAATAATAACAAATTCAACAATGGTGGCTAGCAGAAGCTATGGTTATTTAGTACCTCTCACAATACCCATCTTTGTGTCTGGATGAGATGCCATCGACTGAAGTAAGGCCACTGCATTGCAAACTGTCGTTGCTTCTTTCATACCAAGTGCAGGAGGGGACAGCAACTTGTACGCCTTGCAAAATTCCTGCAACACATGAGTATTTTAGTTTTCTTTATCATTCACCAGCTTTTATATGTAAACAATAAACAATAAAAAAACTGGTTTATTATATAAAGGCAAAGAAAAAAAAACCCGACTACGTACCTAAAGTGAAAAATTGAACTGAAAGTAACTTCCATGAACAAAGAAAATGCCCACTCGGTATACTACCATTTTTATATGGTTTAGTTATTTTATACATAGCAATATATTTTATGTTGGTAATTTGGTATAGTACATTAAATTTAAAATATTTTTTACTCAATTTCTCGTATTCGAAAAGAAAGTACGTTAATTTAAAACTTATATGGCTAGCTAGATTAATCAAATATCTAAAATAATTTTATGGAAAAAATAATGAAAGTTATAGTCAAAATGGAAGTTATGTACATGGGATTGAAATTTATAAAAATAAAAATATATTACATAATTAAAACTAATTTCTTAAGAGGGAAAAAGAAGAAGAGGAAGATAAGTTAGCAATAGTAACTACTGGTTTGAGTAACATAGAGATGGAGACGGGGATATGAAAGGTCCTCACTGAACACAAGAAAACGACTCGACAACAACAACTGGAGGCAGAACCCTCATCAACAAACCATCGATATACCCACAACCTTTTTTTTATTGCAAATCTTATACCAATGTTGCCAACCCATACATCTGGAAAGCATTCCAAGACCTTGGGCATTTAGTGGACGCTTACGTAGCCAATAAAAATGATGTATACAGTAATATCATTGCCTTTGTTGGATTTATTAAAGTCTACAGCATCGATTCCCTTGAGATCATGTTAAACGATGTCAAAATGGGGGGAGCATAAATCCCTACAAATGTAGCATGATTCAGTAGTCACCAATAGAGAGAGAATTAAACAACCAAGTGAAGAAAGCACACAAGTTCAAATGCAAACAAAACAACCAGAACCCAATTAAACTCTCATGTCACTACTTCAATAACATTTAGAGATGTTTTTGTTGGTTCGTTCCCTAGAAGCAACATACTATCAATAAGAGTCTCATCCACTAACGCCACATGCCTTAAAGACTGGATGAAGCGCTCCCTAGCTAGTTGGGGAGGTTCGTAATTAACATGTATAAACTACAAAATATCCACAAAGGTTTAAAAGCTGAAGGACTTGAGAAAATTCACATTCGTTGCAGAGGGGGTTGAAGATCATGCTCAACTTCAAGTGCTTGATGAATGTGTTGGATAATTAAGAATCTGGGATGAATTTTGTACCAAACGCAATTTGGGAAACTTTCCTTATATTAAGCCTTTGAGTTAGAATATGGGTTTGATTCCGTTTAGTATAAATAAGAGGTTATTTAGAAGTAATTTTTGTTAAGTTTCGATTCTTGCTTCTTAATAAAAGCTTGGAGCCCAAGCAACTTTCCAAAATATTATTTTGTCCCCTGTTTGTTCCTTCTTCCTTCCCTGTACTTGAATTGTTATTATGATCATAACAAGTTTCAAATTCAACCGAATGCAAGAAAATTCCTGGAAGAATGTGAGAAAACTTGGAAGATTTGGTTAAGTGAATTAGAGGTTTGGGATGGATTGCCACACAGTTTTCAATGGATAACATGTATGAAGATATTTGGTATTCCTCTACATCTCATGGAGGGAGGATTCGTAGACAATATCAATGGTGCTATACATCTGAATCAGTATTACATATTGTGTTCCTAGTTTTGACCTTAAAACGACAAGATATTATTGACACCATTTGAGTAGGGTAATCCTTAGACATCAAGATTGGGAATTTTGAAGATCATGTTGCCAACCTAGTACTTTTCGGTGATAGAGAAGTCGATCTTATCCCATTAATTTGTTAACTATCAATATCAGGGGAGTGATTGGTTCCTACAAATCAGAATGGATCATAAGATTGAAGAGGGAACCTAAATTTGACTTCTTTTCTATATAGGAAGCTCAATTTAGATGCTCTTCAAGAATTTAGGTCATTGTACTCCACATCTGAATTTTATTGTGTTGATGCTAGTGGTCGATTGGGATGGCTTTTTTGCGTTTGGGGTGTCTCTTCACAGCTAAGCAAGTAATTAAATCACATAACTTTTTGGAAATCTTTAGTACTCTTTGTATACATCTTTTTTTGGAAACGGCAAAACGAATTAAGTAGAGCCTACTCGCAATATTTTAACGAGCACCCCGGGTTCGAGCTCCTTCACAGGGCAAACCCAGCCCCCATAAGGATTTCCAGGGAAAAATTCCCCACATGTGGCACCACAAGAGGTAGTTTAAGGGAATAGAACTCTCGACCTCACGCCCCACATGGGTATAAAACCCGGTGCATCAACCCAGCTAGGCTGGACATCACTTGCACACTTTGTATACATCAATCTACACAATCATCCTACACCTTTATGATATTGTTATATAATTATAAGCATTTTAATTAGACGTTCCTTCCATAATAATGTTACCTAATTTAAACATATATTGACAACCAATACACCGTTTTTTTCACTGCATTAAATATTGACAACTATTTCATTTATTCAAATAAAGTCATATAGGTTGGTATGATATACAAAAACATAATAATTTAGTTTATATATTGTATTTTTACTAATCTTAACGGTCTTATTTTTTTCTAATAACCGTAACGCTTTTACTAATTGTACTTTTTACAAATCTCCTAATATCTTATAATTTTTATCTTACTTTATAATTTTTCATAACTATGTTATTTATTCAAGATTGACTGTCTTAATAGTTTTTTTTTTCCAGTCTATTAAATTTTATATTTCATTGTACAACATCATCGTTTGTATGTATTCTGAAATTTCACTTTAAAAATGTTTAATGTTTACACCTTGATATTAATTTTTTTTTAATAAACCCGTGTAATAATTATGGAATATATATCTTGTTTTAATTAACATTTACCTCCTTCATTAAATCAAATTCCTCATTAAACGTATATACTTTTGGAAAGTAATAATTATAATGGGCAGCATTTCCTAAGACGTATATGCTTGATATGTTTTTGGAGGAAAAAAATCAGGATCATTAAAAAATTTTATATAAAGAAAATACATATTTAAATATGGTGAAATTATGGATGAAATTACTGGCGAAAATTATTTTGGAGGGAGTTGTATTTTATAAGGTATAATAATATTACAAAATTCGAAATATGTATATTTGTTGTGTAAATTTATAAATTTTATTGTTACTATATAAAGATAAAAAAAGTAGGTTGGTATGATATACAAAAACATAATAATTTCAATGATATTTTAAAATCATGCCAAAATTAACCGGATTCTTATGACATAAAAATTAAAAAAAAACATAATCATCTCTAATATATAAAAGTAACATTTTCGTAATTAATGTCAGTTCCCAAGATAGTTAAATTCTGTTTTGTTAAATGTATGTAATATCTTTTCCTGTTTATTTGAAAAGTTTCAGAAAAGTAGTTAACTGATTAATGTAATTTGTGACAAAGAAAATCGAAATATATGAATACATATATTTGATATAGGAACAAAAAATAATCGAAAAAATATATAAAAAGCAAAAGAAGGTACCAACCTTCTAGTGCACAAGAGCGAATGTTTGAAGCAGAGAATGATGATGGAAGTTATAAGCAATAAGAATGATGTTATAGGAGACGGTTTGAAGAAAAGAAACGATTGAAAATAAGTGTGAGCCGCGGATTCCAGGATGAATCGTATATGTATGTGATAATTTGAATATGATTTTTTGGTATTAATGATTTCCTAATAAAAATAGATTTTATATTAATGGTTTACTAATATAAACGGATTTATATTAATGGTTGATATTAATGCCTTGATTGAAATTGTTTGTTAGTAATATGCTTTTAAAACTGACTATATTAAAATGTTTATAACCGGAAATTCAAGATTTAAAATATGGAAAGCTTTTATTGGAATTAAATATATTCCATTTCAACGAATATAAGTTATTGTTTGACGATTGGAAAGCATTTATTGGAATTAAATACATTCCATATGAGAAAGATGATGTCAGCAATTTGATTTAAGGGTGGAAAAAATAAGATTGAAATACAATCAAGGGTTCAGATTATTTAAGATGATGTCATAAAGTTTCTCTTTTAATAATATTTATAGATTACCATATCATTAGCATATAATTATTATTTTGACTAATTTTTTTATCATTACTTTCTTATATCATAATCAATAAAAACTTTTATTATATAATAATTACATTTTTATTACTAACCTTTTTAATATTAATAACTTTAAATTTATTTTTTATTAAAATAAAAAAACAACAATAATTTTTTTTTATAATATAATAAATAATATTATAAAAATTCCAAATTCCAAATAAATCCATTGAAAAAATAGTTGTGATTTTTTAAAAGAAAAAAACAAACCTTAAGAAAAAGTGGCATAATTTTTTTAAAAACCATTCATAATCCATGCTTTTTCGGATAACATTTTGGTTGATAAAATTTATATTTTTCATTTGTGTCTTTAATTTTGATAGACACAAATCGTTAATTGTATACGAACGTTTTATACCTTTTTAGTAAACAGAAATAGTTCTATTGAGTTTATATTAAAAAATAATATAATTTTTAATCATTAGAAAATGCTAACAATAAACAAAATAAATAAATAAATATATAAATGAATTGATTATCTCGAAGTTTGGAGGAAAGTGGGATTAAAAACAAGTCAGTCACCAAATTTTTTATTAACATAAAAAAATGTTATTTTTATAATATAACAATATCAAAAATATTTGAAAAAATAAAATTCCAGATAAATCCTCATTAATTTTTTTATCCTTGCCGTAAACCCACAAACTTAATGCCTTTTATTTTTTCTATTTCCGTAAACCCATCTTTTTTATAACATAATTTTTTTTGACTGATTTTATTTTTTGTTAAACGTAAGCTGCATTCGTCTTTTTAGACTTTTTATTTCATTTCTGTAAACCTAATATCATTAATTGTA